TTTTTTTTTTGCCTTTTGATCACTTCTACATCTAAACTGTTGAAAAGAATCAGAAATTGGTGAACAGTTCAAACTGTAGTTTGGTTTCCTTTGGTTTTTATTTAAATTTCTCATTTTATTATAAAGGTGTAATTTTAGCACTGGGAATTTTCAAGGACATATTGAGGTAGGGAAAAGGCGGTCATATTCACACGATCAGACTTATGTAGTCATTGTTTTTCATATCGCGCTGTGAATTCAGTGAGTTTGCGACATGTAGGAGAAGGGGTATGAGTTGTTGAATTTACGGGGCAGTTGAGGGGCATCTGAAACAAGATGGACCATATAAAGTTTCTTTTGCAATCTTTTGTGCTGGTTTTAGATTCATCGTTGATAGTGCTTCTCAAAATTGTTAACTGCCGTTTTAATTGGTATTGTCATGGAAGCTCCCTCATTTGGCCCTTATTTAAGCAGATTACCCGAATACTAACGAATGCTGTCACTGATGTTTCAGCAGTTCATTTCTACCTTTTAGAGTATCCGCCTACAGGAATTTAGGTTATCGAAGAATATCTGCTTCTTGTTTTAGTTGGAAGGTTTTTTCATTGAGCATTCAGCTTTAAACTGTGGTCATTTATGTCAGTACAGATTGAAGGCTTGAATTTTTTGCAGTTTTAACTACGTGAGTTTAGTATCAGTTTGTTGGGACTTGGTAATGCTATTTTTTCTGAAACTTTTCAGCTATATTTTTTATTTTTAAAGTCATTCTGCATACAATGGTGTCAAAATTTACTCAGAAATTTTAGTTTCAATAATGGCATACTTTTCTTGGAACGGGGTAACTCATTATGCATGCTGCTTCCATTCAGATCATTTTTTCATCTCCACAAAAGTTGATGATTGTTGTTAAATATTCCTTTTTTCCTGTGGGCTACGGAGATGTTTATAAGGTCATGTTGTCGCTGTGAGAATTTGTCACATTTGTGTGTACGAAATTCATCGCGACGATTACTTTTTAGTACTAGGACCAAGAAGATAGTTTTTTGTCACATGTTAGGTGCGTAGTAGCTGCAAGTATGTGGAATTACGTCATCATCAGTTCTTTTAATTTTTGCTGAGGAAAAAGATGAGAAAAGTAGGCTTGAAAATGATTCAAAAGACAAAGAAGGAATGACTGCTGCTCCTGTCTCAATTTTGCGCGAACACCGGTTGTACTGTTTGACAAATAGATTACTTGGATCAAGTCAGTCTTGCGCAAAAGCCTTTCGCTCAAATACAAAAAATTGGTTGCTTACCAGTTTAGTCGGGTGCATTTGTTGCTTTTCGAGTCTACTTTGGTTTGAACAGGAATTTTGCTTTTATATGTCCCTCTTCCATTGGCGTTCGCATTGATTCTTCTACCTCTTTGTGATCCTTTCACTTCTTTTCTAGTATTTTTATTTAAGACTATTTTGGTGTGTATCTATAGAAAAATATGGTCGAAATTGAGCGAAGTTAAATAACCGTGCCTCATTTTCTACTTCTTCTTTTCTCAAAGTGGTCGCCCAATGGGTTTTGGACAGAAGATAATTGTTGTAGCCGAGTCATTTCTGCCACCTCATTGAAGAAAAAAAATTCCTCATTTGACGTTTTATTAGCTGATATTGGCTATAATCATATAAGTCCTATATTTTTTTTTGATTTACAGTACCGCTTTACAATAGTAACAATTGTATATCATTTGCTTGCTGTAAAAGGTGAATTTTAATTGAATGTATTCTGACCTGTCTAGATATAGCTGCGTGGCAGCTGCAAATACCATAATTGCTGGCCTTGAATTACTGGAGTTTCTAATTCCGCAAATACTGTAATAATGATTACGAGCGAGAATCATATGCATCCTTCGTCATCTTTTGGTTCCATGCCATATTTGGGGGCTCGATCCTTTAGTCATTCATTGACACCAATGCGTTTTCCTGTGCATTATAGAACTCGAACTCCCTACCTCTCTCGTCGCACTTATTATCCTGTAAGAGAACTGGACAATTACAACGATTTTGTGGGATCGATTTCAAGTTTCAAAGCTCAAAAAACCAGATCTTTAGAGCGAACTCCTGTTTCTGTAGGTAGCTATACTCTTGACTTTCGGTCTCGACCTATTGAGCCAAATTACTTTTACCGAAGAAGCAGCACTCATGAATATTTTGAACCATCTACTTCTCCTGTTATACCTGAATGTTCTTTAAGGCAGAATTTGTCTTTAACGTTTTATTCTAATTCTAGAGATCTCTACGAAACTAATTCACGACATCTGAGAGGAAATAGCCCTTCGCCTAGTTTATCCACAAATGTGGCTGAGTGCTGGGATACCGTCGTTCGAACTGCCTGTGGTAGGGATAGCTGTGGTTGTCAGATACTTCGTAAGAAAACCGGCAAATTGTTGGAAACTGATTCGTGCGCAAAAACTGGTCAAAGCAAAGAACGTAATCAGAAGAAGCAGACAGATCTTGAACACTGGATATCTGAAAATAATGAAAATACATTTTGCTCATCGCTAAATATTGTCTTACAGCGGCAACCGCGTACTGACTGTTTTGATAAATGCGGTTTTCCGATATCAAACAACAGACAAAGAAGCTCACAATTAAGTGCCCAGGCTTTCTCAGATATTGCCGGTAATAAATTAGTTTTGTCACCTATAAGCACTGCATCATATTCGGGGATTAGTTCGTCAAGAGGTACGTGTGGTACAGTCAATAAAATTAGTTGTACACCACAGTGCCGAAGGAGATCGTACGTTTCTGCTGGTACTTGGAGCACTAGCGCTGCTTCTTTTGCTGCTGAACTTCGTAGTACCTTCATGTCAAGAAATGACTGCTTGCCTAAAAAAGTTTTGCTACCAACTAGTGTAGGCAGTAATTCTCTAGAAACCTCAGCAGCAAAACAAAAAACTGTTAAAGCAGAAGCGTGCATTCAGATTGGTACGCTTCCTCGTTCTAATCAAAATTCGGTGCAGTCTAAAATAGATTCTGCACGTATGAGGCCTCCTTTACCTCCTAATCCACCATCAAAAAGCCGTTTACTCAGATACTCTCAATCTGTCAATGAACGACGAAAGCAAAGAGTTGCAGTTCCTTTGAATTCCTCGTTTCACATTGAGTTTATCGATGGATTTCAATCCAGTGGTTAGTTGATTCATCAATTTATAGATTACTAATCGTAACTCAGCGTGATCGTCATCAGTCCTTCTTCACATACGCCAGTCTTTATTACGAAAAATCATGTTTATATTTTCAATACTTTTTTTGCCGTTGCAGTGTATCTGTTCAGTGTAATTGATTAATATTACTAAGTTGAGCTTTTCTAACAGTCGAAGCAAATTTTCTGTGGATTTATGAGAAATGCTGTGTTAATTGTTTACATGATTTAGTACTGCTTCTTTATTTTCTCATCTAAACAGACTCTAAGTTCGGGCTACTTCTTACATATAATCTGGTTTTGTAAAGGAATATTCAAATGATATTTTTCTTGAGGCGGAGACATGGTTTAGGATGTCTAGTGTTTAAAGAAGCAGTGCGTTTTTTGCGTTTTTTTGACTTTTGTGCTCATTCCTTTTAGAAAGCCAGAAAAGGAGTGAAAGTCGTGTAAAGGCAGCTCCCAGTGTGCGTCTGGGAATGCCTTCCGGGCAACCTGCACCTGGAAGAACAGGCATCACAAGTGCAGGTACGACTTCAACAATAAGCAGCCAGCAATTCACGACCACATTTGTAAAGAAAAAGAAGTCTAAAAAGGATAAAAAATCAAAACTAAGAAAAGCGGATATCAGCAATCCGACAAATTTTCAGTGAGTTTTTCGCTCAATTAGCTTAAGCTTCGAAATTATGTATAAATCATGTGATCAGAGCAGTGCAGATGTGAATTGATTTATATCGCTATTATAATACTTTTAAAAATAAGCTTTTGAAACAAGCATTTTCCGCTACTTCTATTTGCCTGTTTTCGCAAGCATGAAAATGAATTATATAAAATGAAATCTTCATAAGTTAAGTCAAGTGCCAAAACTAAATCTTTCGTTGCTGTCTATCTCATATGGAAACTTCTTGTAACTCAAGACTGAGCCTAGCAAAAATCGTTTCAAACTTATTCTAAAACATTTGCTGCTCAGATTTTCACTCGTTATGGCGGTGTCGTCTTTAGGCACAAAGCGCACATTGGTTGGGATGCTGAAGGAGGTTTTTCTCAAGAAGCTTATGATACAGAACTAATGGATGATAGCGTCAGGGATCTGTTAAGAGCAGCTGGTGAAAATCCAGACAGGATGACAAAGGATGAAATTGATTTCACGTACCGTTTTATTGATCAGTATCAAAAGACGGGGGGTGCAGCAGATGCAGTTGTAGTGGGTGAGATCCCTCCATCTGCAGAAGCACCTCCACCTCCAGCTCGTCGAGATAAACCTCAGAAAGCTTCACGGCCTGTTAGGCCAGTATCGCAGGTTATTTTCTAGCTTCCAACTTTTTCTTCCCAGCTTACTGATTTTTCAGACTCCTGGCGCGTATTTTTCAGTCTGTTTTTTACAGGCTCCAACGCCAAATCGTCCTGCCGATACTCCTCCTGCGCCGCCAGCTACAACGATACCACATGCTGCGGCAGAAGTTAAAGCGCCAGCTTCTGATCTTCCACCCACTTGTACGTCTGCACCTCCCCCTCCACCTCCTCCACCAATGAGTGCTCCTGCTCCCACCGCTTCAGAAGATGGTAAAGGTGGTGGCGATTTGTTAAGTGTAGGTTTTTTATGCTGTTTTCTAGATCAAAAAGTCTTTGCTTCCATTCCGTTGTGGGATTGCTGTTTCTGATTGAAGAGCAGAGAAATCGGGTTAATTTTTATTCGGTATTTTATTTTTTAACTGTTTTTTAGCAAATCAGAACTGGTACTTCCTTAAAAACTGTAAGTGCAGATGATACTGCTAAGCCAGCAGCGCCAGCTTCAAGGGACGATGTTATGGCACAAATTCGGCAAGGCACTACGTTAAAGCGGGTTGGTTCTTGTCGCTTACTTAGTTGCGCTTAGCAAAATTTTTAAAGATTTTGGCGTACCTCGCTAATACTTGCGCTTTTTAGTGTCCATTTTTCATTTTTTTGATATTACCGTATTTTCTAAAAATTAACTTCATGAAAGTCCCCATTCTTATATGTTTTCTTTAGGTTGATAGAGCGGCACTGGAAGAGAAAAAGACCGCGATACCTATAGAAGACATTGGAGGTATTGCAGGAGCATTAGCAAAAGCTTTAAGAGATATCCGTGAGAAGGTGCAAGACTCTGAAGGTCAGTTTTTAGCTATTATGCTAATTTCACTAACATTTATGCCGAATGTTTCTTGAGTTAATAATTTTTAGAGTCGTCGGAAGATGAAGATGAAAATAATGATGACGAATGGGCATCTGATTAAATAAATTCTTGCTCCGTATTTGCAGAATATTTGGTTGCTTTTTAAAAGTTTATCAATCAGATTTGTTGTTAGTTTGACTTTACTCCTTAAGAATTTTCCTTGAGCAGTTTTAGTGCAGTGAAAAAATGTTACCTAAGCGTTAAAGCCACTTGTTGTTGTTAAGATTATCTATTACAGTCTTTTTTCATAAATGGTTAGTTGTATCACTGATGTCCGAGCTTTGGCGGATTAGTATGCGTCTTCATTTTTCTGTCGAGAATGTGGATCATTTTTGGGGAAAGAGGGAAGGAGGAGGACGTTGTAAGCCTGCCGGAATTACCCTTAGGCTTATATTTTTTTCGCTACTTCGTTTTTAATACCTACCTTTTATTTTATTTCCTATGAGCAGTGTAACTTTGGTTTATCTCACTTTCTGTTTTCGTGTGAGTTTCATTTTTTTATTGCTTCTTTTGAAATGTCGACTGACGTACTTCTTGACATTGGTTTCTAATTAATAACTTTTTTCAAATTATCAGTAAGTTTTCAAGCCGTTGGTTGCTTTCTTCCATCTAATACAGAACCTGAGGACTACTGCAGTTTTATCGGTGGTAGAGAGGCTTAAGAGACTACATGAGCTTGAAAGGAAGGAGTGTTAATGCTGGATTCGAACTTTTTTGACTTACTAATTTCAAAAAGTAATTTGCATGGCTGTGGGTCCTTTGACGTTGTCTTTCACTTCGATCACTTGGGTATTCACTTCTGTACGTTGGCAGTTTCAGTCTTGCTACAAGGTATATTAGTAACATACTGTGGAAATAGCATTAAATAAGAGTAAAAAAGCCGCGAATTTTCGCGAACAATTTTTTTACAATCCAGTCGGGTCGCGAAGCTCATAACTAAAGTATGGGTTCATGCTCATTGAGGGGAAGTTCTGTAGTTTAAAACTATCGTGTGGAAAAAGTGTTGACAATTTCCGTTGTTTTTGTTTTGTCAGTTCGAAGCCAGTGAACCATCGGGCACAAAGGTAGATAAATGTGCGTTAGCAGTTGCAGGAGGTTTACATCATCTGATGAGTTTTCATCGTGTTAAAGTGCTGTTAGATTGTTCGAACAAACTTTCAAAAACACTCACTTCCCATAGTATTTAGGAGCTGCCAGATTTGATCCTTCGTTTTTCCAATGTGCCTATCGTTTTCCGTCATTTTTATACCAGTGTATCCTATGTTAATTCTAATTTATGAGGACCGTTCATTCTACTATTTGCTTTGTTTTATACTGTGTTAAAAAGTCGTTGTAAATGTGCTGATCATTTTTCAGAACTTATGTCTGTTAGCACGTGACACAACTTTCTGTAATTTTTAGTTTCTGGACCAGAGAGGGTGCAAACAAGCCAGTATGAGAAACTGAAAAGGGTTTTAAAATTAAAATCGAAAGTGGATAAGCTTATGCTGTGATAAAAAGACCTTAGGAGTGCGTCTTTTCTTTTCTTTTATGTTATCTAGAGAGGATTGTTTTTGGGGTTTTTCACTGAAATGACAATTATGGGTAGTTGGATAGCAGTCAGATTGAAAGTAAAATAATGAGTATTATTCCATTAAGTGTATTTTTGGATAAGGCAAATCTTTTGAAATATTTTTACTACACAAATCGTACAGGTCCTTCAGTTCAAATTGAAGGGAATAAGAATGGATGTCAGTGCACCGTGGTAATTCCAGTGCTCTGAGGTTTTCAGAAGCTAAATTAGATTTGGAAACTTAACGTAAAGCCTCAACTGTTGCAACTTGCATTTAATGAAAATCACCCAAATGCTGCAAATTCGTACACCCTCGATACCAGACACAAACGTTTGCGGCTGCCAAACAAAATGCACAGCTTGGCTCCTTACTCAACATTACACTCTGCAACTTATTCGTTTCAGGAGCTTCACCACTTGCAGGTTGAGCAAATGCTATTTGAAGACGTGTAAGCTCAACTGGGCGTAACAAGAAATAAAGTTTCTTCGTTTTGCTCCATTCGTTAAATAATAGGAGAAAACCGATCGAGTTACAAATTCGCCTGGAGCTTTGAGAGTCGGTCTCGCCGAATTTCTCGGAACTCGAGAATTTAAAAATTTTTTGCCGTACCAAGTCTCTCAGATTATACTTCAACCAGGCCACTCCCCGATGCAATCCAGAAGTCTGGTTCTGACCTGGCGCATCCAAAGAATCTGAAAACCAGCGTAAGGCAACTTGGAAACTAGGAGCTGGAGCCAGTCCCTTCAAGATAACATGATAGCTGAAACTCAGACCAGCCTCTAGATGACCAACAATATAGTTCTTCTAAAACATTAAATGAGGTTAGACCAAAAGTAGTACAGAAGGCATAAACTTGCCATACCCATAAATTTTGCTGAATAAGTGTTGCATATGCATATGCCTAGTTGTCCGCCTATAATGGAAGGAAAAGACAGTTACAGAAATCCCCATTTCATCCGTTCCCGAAGCCGAATTTCGTTGCTGCCAGTCAAAAAATTTTTCTAAAAATGCTGCGTTAAAGGAAATACATTCATTCCCCCAATCAAAGAAGAAACAAATGCTCCAAACTTTTCCGCAGTAAAATGTCCACTTCAGCTAAGATGTCCCTCACTACACTCATTTCCTTGCATGCGCCACCCACTAAAAAATGCCACCGATTCAAAGTACTAACAGTAAAGCAAAAAATCTGTACAGACCCCAATCTTTTGCGAATCTTGTGTAAAGGACGCAAAAACCCACCCCTCGTCCACATTACTCAATTCCCTCCAGCAACCACCACCCAACACATCAAAACTCCACCTACACTATTTAATGCGCTTACTGAACCTGCCAACTACAAGTAACTACACCTTACAGCAAGCAGTGAATCGTCAGACCCATTACAAGCGCTCAGCGGGCAGAAATAGTGGGATGAAATACTCGCACTCCAGGAATCAAACATGCCTCTACCAGCAGCTTAATTCGCTTCCAAAAACGTACCCCAATTCCCGCGGTTTAAGTGGAAGTGATTTAGCACATGAGCCATCGGAAAAATGACTGGTTCAGAACAACAAAAGAAAATTTACTCAGTTCAGCCCAGTGACCAGTAATGCATCATGTTCTTATTTTTAAAAACAAAGACTTTACTACAAAATTGAAATTGCATGGGAGCACTCGGTAAATGCACCAAACTATTGTTCAAAAGCATATATATAGTGTAAAACACAAAAATAATAAATCCACACACTAGCTGACGTATACAGTTAGAGACTAAAAACAATTAACCCATTAACATTATAAAGGGTGCATGTAACAAGCCATGTTATGAAACATTCACGAACAGGTTAACACGAAACTTTCCGGTAAAAATTTATAACTGTAAAAAATAAATGAGAGTGAAAAATCAGCCAAAACACTACTGGTCCCAACTACAAACAAAACGAAGTAACATCTGTTTCCTTTAACTCTTCTAGTGTCACTGGTGGATTATCTAGCAAACTTTATTCGTCTACGTGTAAAATTATGCTCATAACATTCCGATAACTGACTTTGTAAATTTTTTTTTTTTTGTACGCATCACGGTTCAGACCCTGCGCAACCGGTATCAGAGCTCACATGTATCAAGCGGACTTTCAATTGGCCTTACCAGTTAGCCCGTTGTGAAATGTATGCGATTCGGAGCCACCATGACCGTAACCTTTCGGACCAAACATTGCACCATAGCACTGATTACAATAAGGCTTACCTTGGCGCTATAAAAAGATTCAGCTATTGCACCAAAAGCTATCTTCCTTCAAATAAATTGAGAAACAAATCTGAATAAATGTAGTTAACAAACTTCAACAGAGTAAACACTTAGTAATGGGAAATATTTGTAAGACTTGATATCAGGATAGTCGTTAAAAACAGTTGTGGACAAAAAAGCTAGTTCCTGAATGCCTGACAGAGTTTCACATAAGTCACTAGTGTAACTTTCAAGTCTTAAATGTGAATACACTTAGAGTCAAAAGTGATTTGAAACTACTTGAACACAAACCTCTATGAAGCAAAATACTTTTAATTATACATATTCAATTAATTATTTATTTATTTATTCACAATTATATCATATTTAATTATATACTTTTCTCCGCATTTAAAAGAAAAAACTATCACTGCTCTACAAATAAACCAGAGGCTACTTAAAATAACACCTTCATCAAGGCGAGAACCTTCAAAATAACGAACCTAAACAAGCAAAAGAATTTTCAGAGCAGAACATATATAAACTAAACCTCGCAATGTCCTCCAGCAGTCAGTGTCCGTCCGCAATGTTCATTCTCGCATCGTAAACATGGCCGATGCCAATCCTTGCCAATAGATGATACACGCTCAGCTTAAGTAACACAAAGGTATAGAGTTAACATTTAAAGCCTCAGTAGCTGAGAGTATAGTAATTGACGACTGAAGCAACAGACTAATTTAAGCTGCTATCGGTAAAAAATTACCAAAAAACCTCACCAAAATATACTGGTTTATTGCAACGGGGACAGTTCGGCATCGTAACAAACAGATGGGTGAATGAACTTTCGGAGTTAAACTGATATCTGAAATTGAGAACATTTGTTCATCCAATCAAAAGTTAAGTTACAAATCAGTAACAGCGAAAAACAATTAAGAGTAGTAACGTTAATCTGGCCACTAACACAAGTAGTACAGTAACAAGAATAAACTGACAAAGTACAATCTTGAAACCAGATATAATCCTGCCAAATCCTAACATCACTTCAAAATTGATATTTTAACGAATCAAAAAAAAAAGATTCTGTTATTTAATTATTTGTGTAAAATTAAGAAAACCATCTAAATATAACCAATGTCGTATATTCCATTCCACTAATAAAGTTGCTAAAGATATGAGAACAAAAAAATTTTAATGAACATTAAATAAACAAAACATTTCCACCTGCCGGCCAAAACTATAAAAAAACTGAAAGCTAATAGATGTTTAACAACTGAATTATACAATGCATTATCTAAAATTAATTTTTTTTTTTTTTCGCAATCTCTGCTCTCCTCTTCCTTTCCTATCCCAGTGTTTTCCTATAACGCATGAAGAGAACCTGTTCGGTATTTATGGCGTTCAAAAGGAAATTAAGGAAAAAATTTAAAAAGCTATTTTTCTTCTACCCGCCTTCGCATTCTTCAATTGTTACAATAGAGAAAAACAAAAAAATGAAATTGTTTTTAGATGAGGAGAGACAATGGTAGCAACTCTTATTCAAAATACTTATAAGCAATTCCAAAACTGAAGAGTACCTTCAATCGCCTTCTTTTACGGTTACCGTTCCGAATAAAAACCATTTAACGCTCTTAACAAAAGCACAAACAAGTTGTCGTCCAAGGACGGGACGACAATTTGACTACTCACTACCAAATTTTTTTGCTAATTCACTCATCAAAATTCTACTCAGCGGTTCACTACCTGCTAAAGAAGCACTTGCTAAAAACAGTAACAGTGCAGTAACAACACTAAAATCACGAAAGCAATTTAACCCAACTGAAATCGGCTAAATCTCCGTCACAGAGTTGTAGAATTTCTCGGCTGTCCAAAAAGTGTCTCGACCACTTCGGTGAACAGCTGCGAAACAGGATACAAAAATTTGCACATTTTCTGGAACTACTTGTAAATCACTAAGTGGCACTGAAAATGCACCTCTGTAGCCATTGAAAAGCCGGCTGTCACCTAGCTGAGGAACGACAACTGACAGGACGAAATTTGAAATGAATTTACTGTTATTTGCCACCACCAGAAACTTTCTCACGAAAACTAAGTCATTTTAACAAACGACAGCCAATTTGAAGACGATTATGAAGATGAGAAAATCAAAGAGCACTGTATCAAAAAAAAATAAGAACCGGTATAAGGCGTCTTTTGGAATAAATTAGCACAACTAGCAATATAAAAGTAAAAAGTTAAAAAAAAAAAAAACTATTCAACAAAACATAACCTCTTCACAGCAAATCATTACTCTCTAAAGAATTGTCTTCAATTCACTGCTGATAAAAAATGTATTCTTTTTTTCAAAACTTTTTAACAAACGACAGCAAAAGAATTTTCACAATGTAATCTTTGATATCTAGAAGAATTTCCTGAAACACTGGTAATCGTTTTTACAGAAAATTTCAAATTGTATATAGAAAAAACTTGAAAAAAAACAACTTCCCGTACGACGTGGCAGTACAGAAACTTATGAAGAGGAAACAACGGCTAAGGGCCAAAAAAAATTAAGTTCCCAATACATCCAGAATATTTTCATTTCTCTTTTTGCAAAATCTCTAAATCAGTGCATTTCAAAATACCCATTTCGAAAATATACGATTTTATCATCCTCCCATATCTCAGCAATACGACAAGTGGACTATCGAACGTCAAAGAACTAAATAGATTGGCGTAGTCCAGGAAACTTGAGCTGAAAAGGCAAGCTGGAAACGGAGATCAGGTAATGCCAGAATAATTAATGCAAAAAAACCGACTATGACAGATAAGTGGTAACAGAAAAGCTAACAACTGTCCAGCTTTAAAGCCATTTTGTCTTTTGAACAGAACAAACTGCTGTTAACACAGAGAATCGTTGTCTATCGAAAAACTTGATATGTACCAAAAACTTTCCGGCAGTTGAACCTTTGTTTGAGCATCACAAAAACGATTGTGAAGTTGCAATAAATATCTCTCCGAAGCGATTATGTTCCGAGTGTATTCGCAATTGAAAGTTGCCGCGCATTAAAATGCGACGAAGAGTTTTATTCTCTGTAAAATTTGTTGATGACAAAATGCTTTAGTATGAATGACTCGAAAATTTATGGAAACTAAAACCAACCCAAAAATAATAACAAAAAAATCTTTTTTTTTTTCTTCCCTCCCCACCCTCCCTCGCCCCTCCCTTCAACTCTCTGAAAAATCCAAAAATAACATTTGAACTTTTCAATCTTAACAGAACAAAATAAAAGCCTAAAAATTTTTCCTTTTAAGTAGATTTAAATGTTGACAAAATTCAATGTGCCCAGCAACCAGCTAAAACGGTAACAAAAAAAACGAACAAAATGCTCAAAAATTTTGTTGCTAAGTCAAGTCATCTTGACGGTTAGTGGTAAACCAAAAAACTACAATTATTGTGTCAGAAAATTAAATTAACTCAGTTTCAGTGAACAGTGACAACCGAAAAAAAGCACAAGAGCGTTTGAAACTGAAAACACACACACCGAATTTCAGTGTGAAAACTCAACGAAACCCTGCATCGGTGCTGCGTAACATCTCAAATTCCTTACTATTTCGACCCAACCCTTTCAAATACTTTCTATCACCACCGTAAATTTTTGATTTCCAGTCATAGGAAAAAAGAACCTGGATAACATTGAAAGTTAAACATCCATCATGAGTCCCCTCTCCTCCTTCCCAACCAAAACCAGACTTTTTACAACTCGGAACAGAAAACCGTCATTACATAGAAGTCGACGAACTGAGTCACAAAAAGCTTAACAGAAAGGTGACAACGGGTAACGCCTCAGCAAAATTCTCCAACACAAACAAACTTCTTTTGAAATCGGAGAAAGGGCAAAAAGAAAGGAAGAAATTTTATTCATCAAAAAAATTTTTTTCCCTTTTTAAACTTTTGACTTTTGCTCACTGGTTGTGTGTCAAACAAACATCATAATGCGATGATGTTTAGAGTGCAACATACGTATCTGCTTAACAAACAGAAAGACTAAACTTGAATGAGAAATTTTGTTTCTGGACAGAAACATGACAGACCAGAACAATATTAGCAAAAGTGCGTTGCAGCTGAAATCGGGGATTTATTAGCAGCATCAAACGACAACGATAACAGTCACCATCTCCACTATTGCTATTTCGCGAATCAAACATCAGTGAGAAAAAATGCTCAATTATGGAACGCTAACAGCAGACATTGCTGCGTGAACAAAAAAGATTAGTGAGCAGCTAAATTTTCTAAAATATCTAAAACCAACAAAGTCACTAATTCAGAACCTCTTCGACAGCAGTCAGTAGCATCAACGCTAATAAAACCACCAGCATCACCAAAAAAAGACAACAATAACATTACCAAATAGCAGTAAATCGCAAACAACAGATTTCGCCAACGAAAACAAAGAAAAAAAGGCCATCACCTGCATTACTTGCATTTGAACTTTTCAGTACACATTTAATTCCTGCATTAGTCAGTGGATTAGCGACCTATAGTTCCAAAGGTGGTAAAAACAGGGACGGGAAACAAAAGTTTAAATTACTCAAAAAATTGTCTTTTCGTTAACTGGTATTTCTGCATTTGGGTATTAGGAGGGCAAGGCAGAAAGTCAAAATTTTTTATTGAAAATCGAAATGAATCTCTGAAGTTTCGAAATTCTTTTTTTTTTTAAATTATGCAACACCAATCAGAGTTTCACAAGACTTCTCTTTGACACTTTTTTCTGCCCTCTCTTTTTTTCCACAGACTATTGAAAAATTGAAAGGAAAATGTAACCAACACTTATTTTTATTGTAGTTGGAGGTGAAAGGAAGGTAAAAGAAAAGACAAATGTAAAGGTAAGCCAATTACTGCAGTGAAGTGAAAAAAAAAAGTCGTTGTTATGAGACAAATTGCATCTCCCCAACAGTGCATCTCGCCAACCAGAAAAAGACGATATGTGTTCACTAATAGAAACAGTAGATACGAGGAAACAAAAAAAGAAGGGGAAAAGGAAGAATCCAAAGCCTTACAGCATTGCTCTCAGATTGGAGGGAATTCGCCCTTCCCTTTTTTTAATTCAAAAAACCCATATACTGACATAAACACAACACAAATTCTGCGTTTATGTTTGCTGAACCACACAAAGCAGAGGATGCAATTGTGTATGAATAGGAAAAAACAGTACCCAGCACAATTGCAATGGTTTGTCGACGGGGTAGAAGGCAGCAAAAAAAAACTATAAGGACGCCAACATTTTTGGCTACTTGTCCGTCTGCGTTCCTTCCCGGGTTTGCTGCTCCCATGCCCCGTACCACCCCTCCCCTCCTCACCACCGCCTAATCATTTGGCAAGTAACTGACCATAGGAATCTGGTGCACCATTTTTTTCACAGCACTTCATACCGTATCTGAATGTTTGTAGTCTTGTAGTTTGTCAACCAAAACTTCTGGTCCAATAGACTAACGTCCACAGAGGTGCCTGCGAATTGATGGATGCCCGAAGGCTACAAATTCTTATGAGGTACTGTCAATGGTGACACAGAAAGAATGAAAAAATGGTTGAACTTTAGTTTTGTTGATCAAAAGTTATTAGGTGATCAGCAACCAATGCTGCATTTATCCGTTCTAGTTGATCAGGTGCCCGTGTACTACTGTTTGAAAATAGTGAACTTTTAGTTGTGTGGCATCGACTGTCCATAATTAGGCAGTTGTTCTATTTGTAACGCCGTTAGTTCCACTGCATCGTTCTCGTTTGTTTACATTTCGGTTGCTGGGGGACATCCTAAAACTGACTTGTAATAATTTGTTTCTGT